TATCCAACCCAAGGGTGCTCCCTGGAAAAAAATGCACACACAATTTCTGTATCTATATATTTCTGTCCCATCGGGGCCACAATGGCTATGAATTAACTAAAACCCATTTCTCTCTCTCTCTCCAAAACCAAACAGCCTTCACCTCCTCCCCCACCAACATTCCCTATCAGATCCTCACAGGGGCTTCCCTTGCTAATAGCTATTCAGCCGGGAGAAACAAAATGTTGGAACAAAAAGTTTGTCCAGGATTCAACCCCCATCTACTTGTAGCTCGCTACATTCACCTACAACTTTTGCCTCTCAACCCCCGGTCTTTTCTTTCCGTATGGCACAAACTCTTAGCTTTGCTTGCCAGCAATTTGGTCAAGAACGTACACCCTGGTTACAATCTCCAAACATTAGCATTTTGCCAAACAACCAGACCATCCAGGTTCCTTTGGTAGCTTCCGTCTCATCTTCCTCCACACTCACTAAGTGGACTCTACATCTCATTCCTCTGGTAACAGGATTAAGCATCTCTGATGCACTTGGCACCGGAATAGCAAGTATATCAACCTCAACTTCCCTATATTTAAAAAAAAAACAAACCTCTATAGTACCTTAGAGGACATGCATACTTCCATTACAAGCCTCCAAAGGCAGATAAACTCTCTTGTGGGAGTCATTCTCCAAAGCCAAAGGGTCCTAGACCTGCTAACCACTGAAAAGGTAGGCACATGTGTATATCTCCAAGAAGAATGCTTTTTAATGTTAATGAATCTGGCATTGTTCGCGACGAAGCCCATGGGCTCCACAACAGGGCTACAGAAATCCAACATCAAGCCACTAACTCTTGGTAGCACAGGTTATCCTTCCTAAGGTGTATGCCTTGGGTAACCCCTTTCTTAGGGCCCCTAATCTTCCTCCTCCAAATACGAACAATTGGTCCATGTGTACTCACCTCCATATCCTGCTTTATCTCCCGAAGGCTGAACTCCCTTGTCCAGGCAACCACCCAGACACCCACTGATGCCATCCTTCTCCTCCACCAAGTTTGGTATCAGTGCCTCTAGGAAAACAACTCCGAAGTCAGACACCCACTACTGCAAAACCCCAACCCTGATAACAGAGCCCCTATTCAGCAAGAAGCAGCCAGATAGTCAACAACACCCCTTTTCCTTTTACATTAAAGTAGAAGGCAAGAATGTTAGTCCACACTACAGCACTTTGTAAGCCTCCCCCACTGCCATTTCTCAGACCTTGGAAAGTGAAACATTCCACAGGGGTTTGGGCCATAAGAAACAGCCTGCCTCTTATATTCTGCTGGGAGAAAGTGCAAAAGTGCAAGGAACACTACATTCAGCCAGAACAAGGGCTAGAACGGCCTCATCCTGGGAACACGTAATCAACATTTTCCCAGGCAGCAGGCCATGCCCGCGCCAGATCCCTCCTGCCCTGACCTATAAATTGCCCCAGCCTTTAAGCAGCAGTGGGCCCTGGCATTAAGCTGGTCTCCCACCTCTGTAAGTCTAATGCTGGACATAAAGCCTGCATTTGCTGTTAAGCCACTCTCTCTCTCTCTCTCTCTCTCTCTATCTTTCTTTAACCCTTGCCTTCCCTTCAAAACCTGACACCCTGGAGCCAACCACTGATGGGTACGGGCATATAAATACTCTAACTTCTGTACCTTTGGTTAGGACAAATCTGAGGTGCAGAATACACTGTTCCCACTGCTCTCTTGTAGCATTAGTCCAAAATTACCTTCCTCCAGACTTGGCTTGTTTTCGTACCCTTGTTTGGTCTCCTTTCTTTCCCTGCCCACTTCCCAACCTCCTTACTATTTTTGTTGTTGGTTTTTTTCCCTGAAAATATGATTATATCACTTTAACATTAATCTTCATCTCAGGTTCTGTTTCTGGGGAAGGCAGCAGTTTATTTTGGCAATACTATTAGTATTATTTTCATGTTAACGTAGGCATGCTACAATAAAGCAAAAAAGTGTATTCATTGGAAACAAAGATAGCCAACAAAAGAGAAATATGTGAGACTATAAAATCAAAGGAATTTTGAGAATAACCCTAATCCTAAATTTGAATTAGAAATATGAGGAAAATATTATAATTTCTTTAAAAAAATACCCTTTTCAAGTTCTTCCACTGAAAACTTCGAAAAGCAGCGAAACCCAGGAACAATGAGCACTTAGTGTGCAGAGTGTGGTCTCTAAACGTTACTTCCTGCTGAAAGGACCCCGCACTTCCTGAGAAAGCCCAGATCTGAGAATAGAAAATATATAAGAGGAAGCTGGAAAGTTTTTTGTGTGTTGGAAGACAAGGAAGCTATTCAAGACCACAAGAGTCATATCATAATGACATGGAAACCAGCTTGAAGGGACTCCCACTGGCCAAAGAAGGAAGAACTGTAGCATCAAAAAGGAATAAGAACTGCAATAGATTGCAAAACATCAAATAAAATCCATGAGGTCATAATAGTACTTGGTCATTTTTGCTAAGACACTAAGTTATTCCAGAACTTTATCAAGTGACTATGGTAACTTTCCTATTAAATCTGTATTCCCAGCTTACCAAATGTTTGATAAAGTAAATTTCCTTTTTTATAAAAATATTCTAGCTCGTAAATGAAGGAGACATGATAGAATTAGAAAATCACCATTTCATAACTTCTAAGCAAATGATGGATCTAGGCAACATTTACTAACTGTAGTTAAAAGCCATAGGTGAAAGGTTGATGAAAACTTTGTTAATGAGTAAGTCAGGCTAAGAATATCTGAAACTACTGATTAATCTTACCACCCCTAAAAGTGAGACAACCTGCTATTATGTGCCTCCCAACAGGGTGCGATAGTACCCTGTATCATCCCATATCCCAGTGAAGTGTTTTTGTGCTGAATCTAACCAAGCCTCTGTATATACCTCACAGTTTGCGGAATGTAAGGAAATACAAAAATACATCAAATGATCCTAAAAGGGAACTATTAGCCAAACCAATTATGAGAGACATTCTGCAAGGGATCCTGTTTTATTGTTGTTGTTTTTAAGTAATGGCAAATGTAAACTGGGAGAGGGGATTCTTATAAAATAAGAGACATAAGAGCCTTAACAATTAAGCACCATTATGTGGATCCTATTCAAATCCTTTCTTAAATCAAGCAAATATAAAGGACACAACTTTGAAGTAATTGGGAAAATTGTCATAATGGTTGGATATTAGGTGATGTTAAGGGATTATTGTTTATTTACTAGATGTGCTGATAGCATGTTAGTTATATTTTTTAAAGTTCTAATGAATTAGATAGCCATGCTGAATGTTTTACAGAAGAAATGACATAATGCCTGAGATTTGCTTTAAAATGCTACAAAAAACAACCATTGAATGTTGCTGATAACATTCAAATGACTAAATGAAAACTCAAATGGCCAAATATTGATAATTATTGAAGTGGGTGAATATGTACACAGTTATCTTAAACTCATCTACTTTTTTGTATGCTTAAACATTTCCATAATAAGATGATAAATTTTAAAACTTAATACATAAAACACAGAATCCAAAAGAAACAATTTCAAAGAATCTCACAGATCAGCAGAAAGCTTTGGGGCCAGCAAACAGAAAGATGGTTCTCCTTCAGGGAATCAGTACCAGAACTGCCATATTGATGGCAGATGGGAGTGTTATTATTTAACACATGGACATTGAACAACTGCTGACCTAGGGGTTTCAATCACTAAAAGGGCTCCTCTTTCAGAAAATGCCAGAAATTGCCAAGCATGAAACAGAACAGACAGTACAAAAATTCTGCAACATACAGAAGAGGACCAGCAGAATCTGGACTTCTGAAAAAGAAAAAATCCAACTCAATAACAACATCAAAGTCTCCTGGGAAAAGGGGTTAAAGATTTACAACATTTCTTTAGAGGAAAAAAATAACTGGTTCAATTTACAGAGCATCCGCTATGTGCCAAACATTTAATGAGCACTTTAAAAACATGATTAAAAAATTAAAAATATTTGTTAAGCATGAAATAAATTATCTATAATGCAAAATCCCTGATTTTAGTGCTTGGATATGTTTAAGTCATTAGCAGATTACCTTCGAAGAGTTCTACATTAAAAGTATTAGGGGACAGGCATGGTGGCTCACACCTGTCATTCCAACACTCGGGAGGCCAAGGCACGAGGATTGCTTGAGGCAAGAAGTTTGAAATCAGTCTGGGCAACACAGCAAGACCTTGTCTCTACCAATTAGCTGGGTACAGTGTTGCATACCTGTAATCCCAGCTACTCGGCGCTGAAGTGGAAGGATCCCTTGAGCTCAGGAGTTCAAGTCTGCACTGAGCTATAATTGCACCATAGCACTCCAGCCTGGGTGACAGAGTGAGATCCTGTCTCTCTATTTTTTTTTTTTTAATGTTTCTGGATATTACTATAACCAAGTGGCTGAACCAGAACCTACAGTAATTGCAGGAAGAGCCACGAGAGAAGCCACACCTTCCAGAGGACATGCCTCAATAAAATGTACCTCTTTCTGAGTATGCCGAATGTCAGACAGATGGACCGTTTAGAGAAGAGTGTGGAGGAGACAGGGTGAGGGAAGGAGGGGAAGGAAGGAAGGAAGGAGGGAGAAGGAAGAAGGGAAAGAGAAGGAAGAAAGAAAAAAGGGAGAAAAGGAAGAAGAAAGGAAGGGAATTAAGAGTAAAAATTTAATAGGGCATTTATGGGGCATTTAGAAAGCCACAACATTCCTGTGAGAACAGCATTGAATACCCAGAGCCATCTTTAATAGAGAAATCTTGAGAGCACTTATGACAGCCAAGCTTTATCTCCTGGGCAGGGAGAGAGACTAAGGGTGTCTGCTTATTATGCCATGAACTTACTGGCAGATTCCCAGATTTCTGGTCCACTGGATGATTTTGACCCACACACCTTCCAACCTTCCATGAAGCTTTAAGGAAAAGGTAAAAGTAAAGTTAAAAATTAAGCTTTTAACTTTGACACAGCGATGTCAAAAGATTTGGTGAATGATTTATGGGGCTAAACTTGGTAATCCCAAAAAGTCAATATTGTGTAAAGTTGAGAGAAAAGTCTTCACAGAGGAAGAAGAAATCACTTTTTGTTCCGAATCAGGTTAGTCTCACTCTTATAAGGGGCTCATTAAATGAAATGAACAATCAGTTGATTCCCCAGAGGGCCATAAGGGGGCATTCCCTGGCAAAGATATTATTGAAAGTACTTAGCAATAGGGGAAAATTTGGGGAGGGGTGGAATATGCCCTATCTTCTGAGGCTTTTCACAAGAGAAAAAAGAACATATTTTTAGCAATCAGTGTGAGGTTCACAGGGACACAAGAAAACAGAAGTGTGTGTTGTACAGTGTATGATGCTTGTATAGCTGTGGTGTGCTGTGTCTGTAATGTGTGTGGCACACTGTGTGTGCCTGGTGCCTATGTGCCTATGGTTTGTGTGTGCATGTGGTTATATGTGTGGTGTTTTTAGTTTGTACTTCCATTTTGCGGATGCAGTATTGTAACGTGTTTATAAGTTTGGTTTGCTATGTGTCTGGAGTGTATGTGTGCAGAACATAAGGGGAGTTTGTACCATGTGTTTATGTTGTATGTATGTATGTGATGCATACGTATGGGTGGTTTGTGTGCGCGCTTGGTGTGTATGTATATATGTATTGAAATAAACAGCAGGCCCAGAAGAGGTTCCAGTGTGTGATAATGATGGTTGGCAAATTGCTTATTCAAAAATACTTTGCAAATCCAATCTCAGGACTTAGGTATCTTTGGGACACTAGGTATCATATAATCTGATATGGTAAAATCCTGAGGTCTAAGCTGCCCAGCACATATTGGTGCTGAATTCTGATGGTAAGGGGTTGCCTGATAGGAGACCGCTCCACTCTGATTCATCCACAGTACTTCCTGCCATAAAACTTTGCAGCAGTGGCTGCTCTATCCACGGAAATTGAAGATATGGACAGTGGAAGTATTACGAATGATTAGCCTCTGCTGGAGTTGGTGGTATCAGTAAGCAGATAGTATCTTTCAGCTCTATTAAGATACAAGGGGAAAAAAGGAATTTGTTTTACCTTTTCTTACTCCTTTTCTGACATTCTTCCTTTCTTTTTGTACTGCCAAGTTTCTGACCTATAGCAATCTCCTTCTGCCTGAAAGGCTTCTTTTAATGTTCCTCGTAGAGCAGGTCTACTGGCAATGAATTCTTTCCATTTCTCACTTTGGAGGAATATTATCATGGATTTAGAAATCTGGATTGGCAGGGTTATTTGTTTGTTCTCTGCAGTTTTCAGGTCTTCCATATATTTTTAATCAACCAAAGCAATCACAAAAGTAAAATAAATATCAAGGGAAGCACATAATGGAGGTGAATGGGCACTGCTGTGATGGAGCAAGTTATTCTTGGAAGCAGTTTTAAATCAGAGAGGAGAACTGGGTAGTGTTTGGTCAGTTGCCTCTCTACATTATGCTGACATCAACGTGTTTTGCGCTCACAGTGGGTGGAGGCCAAACCCTTTAGCAAGAAGAGAAGCAACTTCAGTCGTGTATGCAAATGGATAACCAGTTGCCTCGCAAAAAAGGTAGCACTTTATTCTGTTCCATTAAATAGGCTTTCTGCTTCTTAAATATTACATCATAGATTCCATGTGGAGGAATATTTTTGTGAAATACATATGGGGTCTTAAAAATGTTCAGGAAAGAAGGTAGAAGAAATCAGTCCTACTATGGTTTCCCACCAGAAAAGCCCTAAATAAAAATATTCTATATACTCTGGTGGCTCACACTTTATTTTCATTTTTGTACACTTGTCAGTTTATCATTTAGTGGAAAATATCAGAAAAATCTGGGCTATTTTGGTTCCATCTCCAAGAGAAGGAGAGATACATCTGTAAGAGGAAGTAAGGCAGGATGAATGTTCTTGAGTCCCTGCATTCGTGGACATCAACAGCTGAATGACAACAATAGAGGATTACTGCTATTGGCTAAGTGTTGTGTCAATGTCGTAGGGGACAAAATCTCAGAAAAGGAGATGAACAATAGATTGTATACTTTTTCAACTTATGTAAAAGTTACTGTATATTAAATTTTATATTTCTTCTTGTATCAACTTTGATACTTAATTATTTTGATTGTTTAAGTTGTCCATTTAATTTGCATTCAAAGTTTTTATATATATATGTATATACTTTTTTTTCTAATATCATTCATTTCTGCCCTTATGCATTTAATTCCTTTTAGACTCTTTGGGTTTGTTCCTTTGTTCAGTTTCCAATTTTTTAAATTCTTTCTTTTTTGATAAATATATTAACAGATTCACATTTTGCTCTCTCCATGAGTTTGATATGCAGTATTCTTACTATTACTCAATCCCAAACACTTTAGAAATACCCCGGTGGTCTTCTTTTTAACTTAAAACTTGTTTAGATATAATTCATGGACTTTCTGGAGCAATGTGGAGGAGAGAAATGAGTAAAACTCAAAAGGGTACCCCTAAATGGCCAAGACAATGAGCCCTTCTCTGACGTGGTGACAGTGACTTCGACTTTACCATGTTGAGACTTTTTTCTCTCCTGCAGGGGTGTTTACAAAGTTTCTGATGGCTTTCTAGATCCATTCACTTCCCTAAGATAATGAGTTTAGGCTGCAAATCAAAGGAAGGGTTGACTGATTATTAAATTTCTCAGGAGTATTCTTTTACCCCCTTCTATTCAGCTCTTAAGTTCATATGGCACAAATTATTTTGGCAGTCCACTGACAAGGTAAAGGGACAATGTGTTCATCCTCCATTGACCATGTAAGTCTTTGACATCTAAGTATTTTAGGAGAGGGTCTCCTAGTATATACTATCACATTGTTAGGACCTTTGTATTTGATTCTTGTTGTCCCCATATCATGGAAGGCCCAAAATTCCAAGATCAAAAGTCCACAGTGAAACATCTGACTTCAATGCTCAACTTATGTTTTGAGGCCCCCATCTTCACTAAGCCCTTGGCCTGAATATTTCATCTTTCCTCTTAGATCACCCATGCTTTTAATAAAATGTTTTATTTTAAGCATATTTTTATCTAATATTCTTATCTTTTAACAATAGAAGCTCAGGCTAGTCCAGAAAACTAGCCGACTATTTGTTGGGTACTAATGCTTTTATTCATTTAACAGTTTACCTAAAGAGTATTCCACAATTTTCGGCAGAGATTTTTCCTCAGCATTTTTATAGCTGCAAATGACTTTGGTACGGATGGATATATTATAATTTATTTAAATGGTCACTGATTTATAAACATCTAATTTGTTTACAGTCTTTTACTAGTTCAAATGATTCTATAAGAATGTTGCAAAATGATATAAAATTCAATTCGATAGGATGATATAAAATATTTATACATCTAATAAAATAGCTTCCAACATATAAAGCAAAATAGTCCTATGAAAATTATAAAGATACCAAATCCTAAATAAAATATTAACAGAACAAAACAAGTCTAAGAATTTATAAAACCATTAAAAAAGCAACCACCACACTAAGTCAGGTTTATCCTCAAAATGAAAGAGTAACTTAATGTTAGAAAACGTATACATGTCACTCCACACAAATTAATTGAAAGAGGAAAACTGTATGATTATCTCAATAGATATAAAAAAATCTATTTATTTATGATGTTAATATTTATTTGTAATAAAAAACTCTTAGTTAACTATGAATGTGCAGTAGACAGAACTCCAAGATGGCCCCCAAGCTCCCTGGCCCCTGTTGTATTCTTGGTTGGAAAAATGATCACAGAGGATACAGCCCAGAGCCCAGAGCCCAGCCAAGAGCCACAAGAATTATCTCCAGGCCTCATAAAAATTCCAACATTGGCCTGGCTGAACTTCAGAACCTTTATGGATCGATGACTCCTTTTCGCTTCTATTTTCCCACCTTGGAACTGGAATGTCTATAGCTTTATCCCACGCCTGTTCCACCATTACGTGGTAAAAGTGTTAGGGGCATATAACTCTTCTCTTTAGTTTCACAAGCCCACAGAGAGAAATTGTGCCCAAGGATGGATTAATCATAGGCGCCTCTTCCACACCTGATTTAGATGATGAGAATTTGGACTGTGCTATGAGATTTTGATGAGGTTTTGAACTTGAGCTGATAAGGTAATAAAACGAAGACTTTGGGAAGCTTGAAATGGGTGAATATATTTTGCATGTGAAATGAACATGAGTCTTTAAGAGCCAGATGGTGGACTGCAGTAGGCAGAATTCTACATTTACTTTCAAGATTCCCAGTCCCTGGTGTATACACACTTTCTCCCAGTTATTTAAGCAAACATTAAGCTAGGTGCTGCTTCAAGGGGTTTTGCAGATGTCATTATGGTCCCAAATCAGTTAATCTTAAATAGGGAAATTATGCAGTTAGGAGAGATCTAATCACATGAGCCCTTTAAATCTGGTTGTACTGGTCAAAGACAGAGTAGTTAGATTCAAAGAACGAGAGAGATTCAACATAAAGTAGATTCCCATTGCTGATTTTGGAGATGGAGGGGGCCATACTGATTAATTTTGCTGTTTTTGAACTTCGTAAAACTAGATTCCTGTAATATATACTGTCTGGTGTCTAGCTTCTTTAACTGAACGTGTTTTTGTTGAAATTCATTCAGATTTATCCAAATTGTTGTGTATAAGTAGTTCCTTCCTTTTATTTCTGAGTAATATGCATTGTATTAAAATACCATGATATGTCCATTCTTTCCAAACATTCTGCTATTTTGAATAAAGCTGCTATAAACATTTCTGTAGATGTTGTTTTGTAGACATATACCTATATTTCTCTTGGGAAAAAAAATGCCATTTGTTGAAAAAGACTTTACTTTCCTCCAATGAATTGCATTAGTACATTTATTTTTTAAAAGTTAACCATATATACGTATCTGTTTCCAGACTCCCTACTTTCTTCCATCAATGAACTTGTTTGGCTGTACACCTACTGATTACTCTAGCTTATATCAATAAGTAATTACATTTTTTTAAATGCCATTTTTCTCCACATTGGGCATATATGAGTGTTTCAACCAGTGTATTTTTAAAATGTTGGAAAAGGAATAGTTTTCTTGACAGAAAATGTCTTTGTTGTTATGAAGGGGACTTATATCCAAGAGTAACACAGGGTGTTTATAAAAGGTCTTTTAAAAAATAGACATGAGCCAAAGAACTTTAAAGATTGGCTTAATTTTCTTGGAATTTCTAGTTGGCGTTATAATTTAAGGAGAATATGGTACTATTATATCAGTCTCACATCTTCCTATTATATAATAATTATCAAAGGTCATTAAGTACAATAAAATTTTAAATTAATATCTAGGGGTCCAAATTTCTGAATGTCCCTCATATACTTAAAGTATGCTTTTATCTCAGCTGTGTCAACAATTGAGACTTTCTGTTTTACTTTGTAGTTCCAGGTTTCTGTTCCTTTCGCTATGGATTGTCTTTCCTTGTGCACTGTTGTAATGTTATAACAACAGCACAGCGCACATGCCTGAACCTCACAATGGTAGTCATGGTGAATAGCACAGATCCACATGGTTTGCCCAACACCTCCACAAAGAAGCTCCTGGATAATATAAAGGTATATCAATAATTTTCTCCACAGTCAAATGTTTAAAAGCCTGTCTTGCTAACTAATTTGTGTAGAGATGGAATTGTATTGATATGATAATATAATTGAAAAAGAAGCTCAAGTCTTCATCTACCTTGCCAGGAGTGACCTAAATAAAATGCTCCATGATTAAAGTATGCCTCAATACTTCTGAAGGGCTCGTTGTGTAAATCCTTCTATGTGAGGGAGAATAAAACCCTAGAGTTAGGGTTTCTTTACAATCTAGAAATTTGGACAAGAGAAAAAAAAAAGGGAAAGCATTTTTAAACCAGAAGTGGAAGGTGAAGACACCTTACGTTTTTTAAGTTTTTGACATGCAGGATATTTAAATGTTTCATTAATTTCATTTCTGGAAGATAATCAGTTGTTATCTGCCAGAAGATGTAGATGCAGGAAAAAATAAAAACAAGATAGGTAATGTCAGTAAAAAGATGGAAACTATAAAAAGAGTTAAGAAAGAAAAACTAGAAATCAAGGAAACTATATCAAAGAATGCTTTTGAGGGGCTCGTCAGTAGACTCCACACCACTGAGGACAGAATTAGTGAACATGAACATAGATCAATAGAAACTTCTGAAGTTGAAATGCAAAGAGAAAGAGAATGAAAAAAAAAATTAGCAGGTCATTCCCAAATTGTAGACAGTATCAAATGGTGTAACATGTATATGACCAGAATGCTAGAGAGAATAGGAAACAAGAAATATTTTTTTTTTAAATGGCTGAGAACTTTCCATAATTAACGACAGACATCAAACCACAGATCCAAGAAGCTCAGAGAACACCTAACAAGATAAATAGCAAAAAGAAAAGCCACCTAGGCATACCGTATTTGAATTTCAGAAGACCAAGACAAAAAGAACATTTCAATAAAACCAGAGGAAGAAAATACCTACAGAGGAACAAGTATAAGAATTACAGCAGACTTCTCATCAGAAACCATGCAAACAAGGAGAGAAAAGTGAACTTTTTAATGTGTTGAAAGAAAGAAAACCCCTGCCAACCTAGAATTCTGTATTCAATAAAATTATTGACAAAATTGAAAGACTATAAAATTTCAAGCTGTAGCTGTAACTTGAAAAAGCCTTTATTGTCTTTCAATTTTTGTCCTTCAATTTTCCCTCCATATATATGAATTTACTGTCAGCAGGCTTATCATAAAAGAAATGTTAAAAGATGGTAGATTTTAATCCAACTATATTGATAATCACTTTAAATGTGAATGTTCCAAACACACCAGTTAAAAGACAGAAATTGTTAGAATTGATAACAAATAAAGATCCTCAAATATTCTATCTACAAGAAATCCTGTTAAAATATAAAGACTCAGATAGGTTAGAAGTAAAGGGATGAAGAAAGATGTAAACTATGCAACCATGAGAACACAAATAAAAAGAAAACTGAAGTAGCTATATTAATTTTAGACAAAGCAGAGTTTATAGCAATGAAGATAACCAGAGATAAAGAGGGCATTACCCAATGATAAAAAGAGTGAATTCTCCAAAAACAAATTATTCTAAACATGATCCCTAACAACAAATGATCCCTAACAACAGAGCAGCAAAATATAGGAGGCAAAAACTGAGAACTCAAAGGAAGAATAGAAAAATACACACTTGGTAACTGTTTTCTATTCGTTAAATCTGTTCTTTGCTAATTTTTTTTTGTTCACATTTTGCCTTCTCTGGGTTTAACTGAGCATTTTATATGATTGAATTTTATCTCCCCTCTTGATATATCATTTATACTTGAAAAAAAACTGTTTTAATAGCTTCCATAGGTTTTATAATATACATTTGTAACAATATAAATCTACACCCAAATAACACTACACTATTTCACGTATCATGAAGGCATCTTGTAACAGAATATTTCCAATTCCTCTCTCCCATCTCCGTGACTACTGTTATTCATTTTATGTATCTATATGTTATAAACACTCAAAACATTCCTTCAACAAAAGTTATCTTTTAGATCAATTCAGAATAAAATATTTTTCACTTTCATTTATTCTTTTCTAATGGTCTTACTTCTTAAATGTAAATCCACATTTTTTAGCTATATCACTTTTCTTCTGCCTGAAGAATTTCTTTTACCATTTTTGTGTGTTGTGCTTTTGTTGTTGCATATAAGAAATCTTCACATAACCCAAGATCAAAAAATTTTCTATGTTTTAGAAGTTTTATAATTTTTCATTTTACAGTTAAATCTGTGATTTATTTTGAATTACTTTTTGTATATGTTGCATTAAAGATTTTTTTTTTACATGTGGATATACAATTTTTTTCCAGCCCAATTTGTTGAGAAATCTTTTCTTTCTCCATTGAATTACCTCTGAATGTTCATTGAAAATTAGTAGTTGGAGGTGTAACACTACGTACTGGAATTTTAAGACTTACACAGTTATAGTAATAAAGACAGCATAGAATTAGTGTAAAGACAGAAAATAAATCAATGAAATATAACAGAGAGACTGACACACATATGAACAACGGATTTTTTAAGATATGCAAAAGAACAAACATAAAACTGGACTTCATCAGAATTTAAAATACTGTTAAGATAATGAAAAAACAAGCCAGTGACAGGGGCACATGTTTGCAAATCATATCTTATAAAGAACTTCTATCAACACCCAATTAAAAAACACAACCCAATACAAAAAATGGGAAAAAGATGTGAACAGCTATCTCACCAATGGGGATACACAGAGGAAAAATACTCACATGAAAAGATGCTCTATATCATTTGACATTGGAGACAAACATCAACTACAAAGATAAATTACTGCACACTGATTCAAATGGTTAAAATTGTAATGATTGCAAATACAAAATGTGTGCAGGAATGTGGAGGAACTAGAACTCTCCTACAGTCCTGATGGGAATGAAATGTGGTGCAACCACTTTGGAATACATTTTGCCATTTCATTAAAAAATTAAGCATATACCTACCATATGAGACAGTCATTCCACTGTTAGTTATTTACTGAAGAGAAATAAAAACATATGTCCAATCAGAGACTTATACATAAATGTTCTATAAACATTTTTGTCTAGCTTTATTTCGATAGCCAAAAAACTGGAAATAACCTAAATGTCCATTAGTAGGTGAATTAATGAACAAACTATGGCACATCCATAAAATATAGTACTACTTAGCAGTATAAATAGAATGAACTACTGACATAAAGAACAACATAGATAAAACTTAAGATAATTATGCCAAGTGAAATTAGCTAGACAATAAAAAAGAGTACATACGACAGGACTCTCTTAATATAAAACTTCTAGGTGGTGATAGCTTCACAAGTATATATATAGATACAGTTTATTATGTCAATTATTTATTTTATATAAAATCTATTTTATATAAAGTCTATTTTATATAAAATTGTTTTGAGTTGTATTCTTAAATATTTATGGTATTCCAGTGCTTTGGTTTAAATACTGAGAACCTCATATTCTAGAGAAATAGCTACTCATGGGAGTTGTATTTTGGAGCCTTCACTATGGCTTTAAAAGAGGAAGGAGCTCTTGAGCTATGGAGCTTGAAAGATTTCTCTAGCACATGCATCAGCCTGCCACCCCATGAAACCTTTTGCCCTCCCATGAAATCTCCTGTCACAATTCAGTTTACTGCTACATAAGGTACTACATTTAAAAATGAAGAAATAGAATATATAATTATTCTAAATAGAAAAACACACCAGAAAATTATTCCACAAAGCAGATCTAAGTTGTAGTCTAACATTACAAAATAACCTAAAAATTAGTAAAACAAGAACTCAAAGTAGACATGGCCAGACCACAAGAGGCTATGCTTGAAGAGCAGATGAATAAAAAAAGGAAATTGACAGGAAAGGATTATGAAAAAGTCAGAAAGAACGTTTTAGAAAAAAAGATGAAATAACAAGAAAAACAAGGAAGAACAGACACACACAGATATTTTACCACAGTAAGAAACACTGATTATAGAAAAGAAGATGAAAAAGAAGGTAGATGAGGAATATTCTGTAGTCAGTCTTCCCTCTTCCATCAAAGTCAAGGAGACTGTGTCATTATTCTTTTTAAAGTGTACCAACCTGACAGAAATTCTACCATAACTTTAAAGTATATATTCTTTTATTACTAATGGTATTACACATTTGTATATTTCTGTGACCTATGGTTATTGTTCATTTCCATTTTGTTCTCTTATAAATTATCTAGTGATACCCTTGATACATTTTCCTTACTTAGGTATTATACATCTCTTATTCATTTATATGACCCATACAAATGTGTATATATATTTATTTCTAAGATTTACATAGAGTCATTTATACATTTATATGTGGAGTACTTTGTTCAATGGCAACTAGTTAATGCATTGATTAGAAAAATATAAACTGAGGATTTATCTTTCTGGTGTGAGTAGTTTCAGTCTGAGCTCAAGGGATTTAAACCAATTCTGGTGAACTTTTTTTATTTTCTACATTCTGCTGTGGAGAGTGATGGCTTTAAGCCATAAGAAAAACTATCCAAGATTTTAAGTGATCTGTTCACATGCACAGGGAGAGTTGAACGAATGCCTGCTGGCCCACCTGATATGGGTAAGGGTGAGTATTGACTTCCTTGGTGCTTCCTGTGATTAAAAACAAGAAAAACAAAACAAAACCTGAGTGAGCACTCTGCTTCATCTTCTGTATAGCTTTCTTCCCCTCAGTGGAAAAGATCTGGAACTTCCCTGGCACCCAGGCTACTATACAGATGTGTCTCACTCGTTATTATTTGGTATTCTCAGAGAGTCACTCCTACCAGATTTCTCCATGGAAGTCCTTTTCCATCCAAGAGAAATATACACTCTAGAGGCCACAGCTATAGGGTGACAGGGACTTGAAAAGGAGAGAAAAAAAGAGGAATGGAGGGATAAGATAATAGTGATGACAACAAACATATGGGTTCTTACCTATTTTATTTAATATTGAACCAAAAATAACACCCAGCACATTCACCGTTTATTCAGGAAACTCTTTGTTGCTTAATATGTTTCTCTTAATTATGCAACTAACAGAGAAAGTTTAGAAAATGCCACTATCTTAGACACTTCCAAATAAACTTTATCCTGTCCTCCCCTACTACCATTAAGATTTCTTCCTGTTCAGTGGGTCCAAAAACATGTGCAACCTCCTTTTTCATAGTCTCAACAATAAATTGAATATTAAGATTTTCTTTTATCATTCTTTAATAATGTAAAAAGAAACTATAGAAGGCCCTCTAACCTAGGAATGGACCAACAAATGCATTCTGGAAAAAATATGCCACATCAGAACCAAGTGAAAGAAGAGAAATGGCCTTTTTGTTTTCACTCTTCCATGCAGTTGTTTTTACAGCTCAGACATAACTCTTCATGGTTTTATCTTCTCTCTATCATGACTTTTCTCTCTGGGAGCAATATGTATGTGGGGAAAAGTGGTTTTGTGAATGAGCTTAAATTAATGGAGGAGTTAGAGAAAGTGAACAGGCAAGAGGAAATTCACAACTGCAGTATACTATGAAGTACAGGAAATTATTTAAATGTATGTATGCTGTGCAGGAGGAGTTTACATGCAGTTTAGCAACATTCAAGAAACAAGCATTAAATGTCTATGCTGTGAGAGGTACTGGAGGGAGGTACAGATGGTGTCCTTGGCTGTGGGGATTTTACTCCAATGATAAAATGTAAATATGTACAGAAAATGGTGTGATTAAGGAATAAAGAAGGTCGTGTGATAAAGAATACTAATAAGAAGGGAGCTACTTTACATGAGGTGAGCCAGAAGAACAGTTTCCCTGAATCCCTAAATGTCACAGTAAATTTCTGATACGCAGAGTGATTCGACGTGTCCCCGCTTGTCTTTTAGAACCCTGTGTATAACTGGAGCCCAGATATCCAGGGAATCATCTTGAGTTCCACCTTCTATGGTTTCGTCATCATCCAAGTTCCTGTTGGATACTTCTCTGGAATATACTCTACAAAGAAAATGATTGGCTTTGCATTATGCCTCAGCTCTGTGTTAAGCCTACTCATCCCACCAGCAGCTGGAATTGGAGTAGCTTGGGTCATTGTATGTCGAGCAGTTCAGGGAGCAGCCCAGGTATTAAAATAATGCTAAAACCAAACAGAGTTTAAATTCACAGGAAGTATTAGAGATTAAATGTCAAAACTTTCTCATTTCAGGGGATAGTTGGAACAGCCCAGTTTGAAATATATGTCAAATGGGCTCCTCCCCTGGAACGAGGCCGACTTACTTCTATGAGTACATCAGGTAGAGTTAGAGACTAGAACATTTGAATCCTATTTTCATCTCATTGTATTATGTTCTTCCCTAGAGCCATAAGAAACATGTGTTTTGAATGGTCAAGGGCTTTGGAAATCATCTATTTCAGCATTCTTGCTGTGAAGATGAGAGAATTGTATAGAATGGAGAAGAGGCATCCTTATCTCAACAGAGAAAAAGAGAGAAAAGAAAATATTTTTATTATTTTCTTCTGATATTTGTGTTATGATGCACAAATTTGTTTCACAGGAAATTGTTCATTGCTACAGCGAGACTACATTATCTGTACTTTCAGATGCCTGCATTAATTAGGGATGTTCTTTGTACCTACTGATTAGGGTTTTTGCTGGGACCCTTTATTGTCCTACTTGTGACTGGAGTTATCTGTGAATCTCTGGGCTGGCCCATGGTCTTCTATATTTTTGGTGAGTCTCCTTCTGTAAAATCCTAGTTATTATTCAGAATCTAAGAAAAATTTAAACATTAAAACCCAATATAAAGTAATAATTCATATAAAGTTAAAATTAAAAATCATGAACTCCACTGAGTGAAAGAGAGAAGTCAACATTCATTAAGTTCCTACCACAAGCAAGGTATTATGATGCTTAAAACTATACATGTATTTTTGTCCATAACTTTTGTAATTCTATAATGTAGGTGCTATAGATGCATATGCTTTTATATGAAACTCTCCAGGAAAAGGATGATCAGAATAAATAAGTTTACAGATTTCAGAAATATATTACTTTTTATACTTAACATTCAAAGCATGATGTGGAGCACTACCCCATAATCAAACACATTAATTTCTACAGTAAAAAACGAAATCTGTGCAAACTAGAACACACAAAAACTATAAAAAAATAAGGTTTACAAATAAGTGATAAAATCACTTTTGGCTCTCTGATCTTGATTTCAGGTTTGTGAATAAGAAAATGTGGATAGGTTCTATTATGCCCATTTGATATGTGAGGAAATTTCAAAAGGCTTAGGTAACTTGATCAAAGTCATATACTTAAGGCAAAATTAGAAGAATTTATTTACAAAATGATCACTTCAAAAGGTAAGTATGAGATGTGGTGGAATCCCAGGAATAGTCCAGTTACCTGGGGCTAGTGATACAGGAGCTTGTAACATCTAGCATCCCCAGGTCCAAAGGCATCAAGCAAGGAAGTAGTTATCAGAATCCATTAGGAGAGCTCTATAGAGCAGGATGCCTCCTGATTTTTCATAAAAGGACACATAGATTGAGACAATCACAGGACAGAGGTAACCAGGGTTTAAAAAAGCACCTTGATTTCACTCAATTCTCTCCCTCTCATCTCTGCCTGGAATTTCTGTTGGCCAAATCTAGGTAGAAGCAGAGGACATGGGGGCCTACTGATGTTCATTCAAATCAGCCATCTGTAGCCAAAGCAAGGTGAAGAAGGATGAGGAGTACATCTAGGGAGACAAACAGAAGATATCCAATACATACAGTGAGCAGATGGCAGAGGCCTAATCTGAAAACACAACTTCTATCCTCAAAATTCCATTGCTGTTAATGACTGTGTTAGTCTTCAGTAGTAGACAATGGTCAGTATAGTGATGGAACATCAGCCCCTTATCAGGAAAGGGGCTGAAAAAACCGAGAATGTCTAGCCTGAGGAAGAGAAAACTTGAGAAAACATACCTTGTAGGACTTTCATATAAATAAAATGCAGATCTGTTTTGAATTACAAAACTAACCCAAATATGCAGAAATTATAGGGAAGCGGGGGAGCAGGGGAGAGGTTTCAGCTCCATATAAGGAAAACTTTGGAATAACAAATGCTGCCCAACATTGCTGATCAAGGGTTGAATGACATCTAATATTTATGTTGTATTTCTGTGATAAGATCATGTACAGCAATGTATGCCACTTACAGTTATCATGGGTGGCTTCATGAAACTCAAACGAAGCTGTTACACAACTACACATTGTACTATGATAATAGCTTTACTGTGAAGTCCCTCACATGTTTCTACCTCATCACTAAGAATTGAGGAAAAGAGATTAGATGACAGCTGTTTAGGAATTTAGGTGTCTGCCTCCCACAACCCTTTTACTGGAAATTACATGATGTCCACATATGTCAAATGACCTGTTCATTAGTGGCAGAGGGAAAACTAAAACCAAGATTGTTTTAAAATTCCATTTGAATATTCTTGCCAATAAAGTTGAACAAATCTGAATAGATACTGTTTTAAAGAATAAGACAATAACTGTATTTAAGCAGCTGATAATTGCTGGAGATTACCAAATAGAGTAAATTGAGTCACAGACTTACATTTGCACTTAAAATGGCCTGGCCAGTTGGGTGCAGTGGATCATGCCTGTAATCCCAGCACTTTGGGATGCTGAGGTGGGTGGATCACCTACGGTCAGGAGTTTGAGACCAGTCTGGCCAACATGGTGAAACACCGTCTCTACTAAAAATAGAAAAAATTAGCTGGGTGTGGTGGCGGCCACCTGTAATCTCATCTACAGGGGAGGCTGAGGCAGGAGAATCACTTGAATCCAGGAGGCGGAGGTTGCAGTGAGCCGAGATCATGCCATTGCACTCCAGCCTGGGCAACAAGAGTGAAACTCTTGTCTCAAAAAAAAAAAAAAAAAAAAAAATTGCCTGTCTATTCTGCTATATTTGTCTCCTAAAGACTATTTCAAACTTCTTAACTCTTCTCAAATCTCTAAAATGATTCCCTTTCCCTGTCCTCTATCTCAAGTAACTTCCCTTTGACCATTGAAATCATTGCGTAATCTGTCTGTACCCATTGCCTACATTTCCTAGCATCTCACACTCTCCTTAACTCACATCTGACTAGTGTCTGTGCCATCAGACACAGCTGTTGCCAAGATCACTTATGGCTTCTGTCACAGCTGCCCTGAGGCCAGGCCAGAGGGCCTTTGCCCTGGATTCCACACTGTGGAGAGCCCATTCTAGCCCCTCTCTAGCTAGGCTCTCTTCATAGGGCAGGTGCCAAGACAGTAGGCTCTGTAGAGCTCATGACTCTGCTTCTAATCATTATACCTGGAATGTGTTGCTTAAATAGAACTAAGGCTATTGGTTATATTGGAAAAGACCAGCAGGGTTCTTCCCAATAGCCACTGAATTGGGGAGTGACCAAGGGAGGTAGGAGGCACTATTTGCACAATATATGAATGGTACACCACTGGGGAAGGCAAGGGTTTCCACATATATCCATTCAAAGTACCTAGGAAGGTGGGAATGGATCTGGGTAGGAATGGGTCAAGCTTCAGACTAGTCGCCAGAGATTTGTGTTCAGAATTCTAAATTTAAACATGACTCTTCAGGTCATTTTTTTCCCTTTGGCTTCTTTCAAAATTGTCTTTGATTTATTGAAGTTGAATATTATATTGTAACTGAAAATCAAGTTAGTTGCTTACCACATGTACAGTCCAATTAACAAGACTGGGGTCTGGTACAAGAAAAGTGGATTTATTCCAAAGCTAACTTGGGGAAGGGACACACAATTTCTTGCTTTTTTTTTTTTTAATTTATTTATTATTATTATACTTTAAGTTGTAGGGTACATGTGCATAACGTGCAGGTTTGTTACATATGTATACTTGTGCCATGTTGCTGTGCTGCACCCATCAACTCGTCATTTACATCAGGTATAACTCCCAATGCAATCCCTCCCCCCTCCCCCTTCCCCATGATAGGCCCCGGTGTGTGATGTTCCCCTTCCTGAGTCCGAGTGATCTCATTGTTCAGTTCCCACCTATGAGTGAGAACATGCGGTGTTTGGTTTTCTGTTCTTGTGATAGTTTGCTAAGAATGATGGATTCCAGCTGCATCCAAGTCCCTACAAAGGACTCAAACTCATCCTTTTTTATGGCTGCATAGTATTCCATGGTGTATATGTGCCACATTTTCTTAATCCAATCTGTCAATGATGGACATTTGGGTTGATTCCAAGTCTTTGCTATTGTGAATAGTGCTGCAATAAACATACGTGTGCATGTGTCTTTATAGCAGCATAATTTATAATCCTTTGGGTATATACCCAGTAATGGGATGGCTGGGTCATATGGTACATCTATTTCTAGATCCTTGAGGAATCGCCATACTGTTTTCCATAATGGTTGAACTAGTTTACAATCCCACCAACAGTGTAAAAGTGTTCCTATTTCTCCACATCCTCTCCAGCACCTGTTGTTTCCTGACTTTTTAATGATTAGACCTAATACCATAAAAATCCTAGAGGAAAACCTAGGTAGTACCATTCAGGACATAGGCATGGGCAAAGACTTCATGTCTAAAACACCAAAAGCAACGGCAGCAAAAGCCAAAATTGACAAATGGGTTCTCATTAAACTAAAGAGCTTCTGCACAGCAAAAGAAACTACCATCAGAGTGAACAGGCAACCTACAGAATGGGAGAAAATTTTTGCAATCTACTCATCTGACAAAGGGCTAATATCCAGAACCTACAAAGAACTCAAACAAATTTACAAGAAAAAAACAAACAACCCCATCAAAAAGTGGGCAAAGGATATGAACAGACATTTCTCAAAAGAAGACATTCATACAGCCAACAGACACATGAAAAAATGCTCATCATCACTGGCCATCAGAGAAATGCAAATTTCTTGCTTTTAAATGTGCCATTTCACCTTTGGAGCTGAAGTGGCAAAAAAAAAAAAAAAAAAAAAAAAAAAAAGGTGAGCATTTTCATAAGGTAGGAGAGGAAATGAGCAAGGGCAGGGGTCCCCTTGCTACCAGGCAGTTATCTATTGCACAGTTGAGGTGGCACTTTCATGGACAGAAGTAGGTTGAAAAAGTGGCCACAAAGGGCATGTTTTCCATATGCTCTCCTGGTGGAAGAAAGTTCCAAGGCCACTCCTGGAGAGTGGAAGTTCTGAGGCCACGCCCTAGAGATGAAAGTTCCCTGGCAATTTGGTCTGCAGATTGACTGTCAGCTCTGGAGGAGAGCTATGACTTGAAGCACATAGTTAGGAGAATTTTTCCTATAGCGAATGTCTGGTGAGGGGAGGAGGTGAAATGTTGTATTTGCATTTCTGAAGGGCTAAGTTGGAAATGAGAAGCAAGAGGAAAAGGGGAAAGGGGAAAAAAAGAGAAATTTTTTCTTAAAATAGTAATTCATTCCCTTTTTCTTAAAAAACTGGGGGCATTTGGTTACAACATGTCAGGTTATAACTTTTTTTTTTTTTTTAATTCTTGGCATTCTCTGGGCTTCTTATATCTGTGGTTTGAAGTTTATTATTAATTTTAAGAAATTCTCAGTAATTATTGCTTTAAATATTTTTTCTAATTTTTTTCTTTCCCCTCCCTCCCTTCTTCCCTCCCTCCCTTCTTCCCTTCCTTCCTTCCTCCCTCCCTCCCTCCCTTCCTTGCTTTTTCTTTCTTTCTTCCTTTCTTTCCCTTCCTTCCTTTTTTTCTCTTTCTCTCTTTCTCTATTTCTTTCTTTCTTCCGGTATGTTTCTTTACATGTATATTACACCTTGTGGTATTTTTTTGTTACATGTATATTACAGCTTTTATAATTGTCCTACAATTCTTAGATATTCCATTTTTTGTGTGTGTGTGTGTGAGATGGAGTCTTGCTTTTGTCACCCAGCCTGGAGTGCAATGGCACTATCTCAGCTCAGCGCAACCTCAACCTCCTGGATTTAAGTGATTCTCCTGCCTCAACCCCCTGAGTAGCTGGGATTACAGGGGCACATCACTACGCCCAGCTAATTCTTTTGTATTTTTAGAAGCAACAGGGTTTCACCATGTTGACCAGGCTGGTCATGAACTCCTGACCTCAGGTGATCTGCCCGCCTAGGCCTTCCAAAGTGTTGGGATTACAGGCATGAGCCACCACACCCAGACCATTCTGTCTTTTTAGTTCTTTTTTCTGTCTTTGCAATTCAGTTTTAGAAATTTCTGTAGCCATTTTATCAAGCTCACTGATTTTTTCTTGGTCATGTCTAGTCTACTGATGTATCAAAGGCATTCTTTATTTCTATTATAGTATTTTTATTTCCAGCACCCCAGCCTCCCCATCTAGGGGTGTAGTTTCTCCCTGAACAATATAATTCATGCTTCCAGGTAAACTACCACTCACTAACATTTATGTCCCACAAATAATTTCATCTTTCCAAGTCTCAGTTTGCTCATTTTGAAAAAGAGATAATAAACAGTATTATATGAATTTTCGGGGAGATGATTGAATAAAATAATTTTTTTTCTTTTTTATCCACCACAAAGTCAACTCCATAAAGGCAGGGATTTTTGTCTGTTTTATTCATTGCTGTATCCCCAGTACTTAAAATAGGTGCATGGTAAATAATCGGCACTTAATATTTGTTAAATGAATGCAAGTCTTCTGGAAGACTGACTGGTGAGCACTAGAATTCCTCACAGTCAAGTTATTCATATAAAAATTCATATAAATAACTTGTCAAACTCTTACAGAACTCCAACAATCCCTGAAGTCTGGGCTATATCTCAGGAACATGGCTGAGGCTAAGCTGTCAAAACTGGGTCATAATAGCAGACATGGAGTCAACCTAAATGCCCATTAATGATAGACTGGATAAACAAAATGTGGTACATATATACCATTGAATACTATGCAGCCATAAAAAGAATGAGATCACGTCCTTTGCAGGGAAATGGATGGAGCTGGGGGGCCATTCTCCTTAGCAAACTAACACAGTAATAGAAAACTAAATACCGCATGTTCTCATTTATAAGTGGGAGCTAAATGATGAGAACACGTGAACACATAGGGAGGAACAACACACACTGAGGGGAACAACCTCTACCACTGGGTAGAGGGTGGGAAGAGGGAGAGGATCAGGAAAAATAACTAATGGATACTAGGCTTAATGCCTGGGTGATGAAATAATCTGTACAATAAACCCCTATGACATAAGTTTACCCATATAACTAACCTGCACATGTATCCCTGAACTTAAACATTATAAACACAAAAACAAAATAACTGGGCAATTGTCAAGCCCTGAGCAGGCTCAGCTGTGCCATATTCTTATGATGGAACACATGAGGAATTTGAAAAGATGAGGGCTTGAGGGCAGGCAGGCCCAGATGTCATGAGTGGAGGGAGCAGAGGATAGGAGATCAGGAAAGGGCATAGGCCTTACCCTATTTCTAGCAGGGAGAGGTCCCTGTGGACAAAAGGAGGACTATGAAAAACGTAAGACTTGTTGCAAAGTTTCAAAAAAGAAACAGGAGGTCCAGGTTCTCAGACTAATACATTGAAAAATGCGAATTTGGGAAAGAGATCCACTACAAACAGAAACTTCCAATTCTAACTTATCCTGCTTTGATAGGTGCTTGTGGCTGTGCTCTATGTCTTCTCTGGTTCATTCTGTTTTATGATGACCCCAAGGACCACCCATGTATAAGCATCAGTGAAAAGGAATACATCACATCCTCCCTGGTCCAGCAGGTAGAGCACAGTTCTCCATATTGGCATCTCTAAGATTCTACTCCAAACTAAACATGTTCCAGTTTGTTCTAATGTGCTAATTATTAATGAATTTCTTTCCAGGTCAGTTCAAGTAGACAATCTCTGCCTATCAAGGCTATGCTTAAATCGCTTCCAGTCTGGGCTATTTCCATTGGTAGTTTTACTTTTTTCTGGTCACATATCATCATGACACTATACACGCCACTGTTTATCAACTCCACGCTTCGTGTTAATATAAAAGAGGTAAGTATACTATTTGTTCTGTTTTTAACTTCATGAAAGACTCTGTGTACATTTTTCTATCTCTAATGACCCTAGTCTCAGCTCTTGCCAACTCCTCACACTGTCTGACTACTGCTCCTCACCTGGAAATTAACTGTTTCTGCTCTTTGTATGAACATTGCCCAAAACAGAAGGCATTGATGCAGACACAAGTGTCTGGCACTCCAGCAGCAGCATACATGCATCTGTGTTTCCACACATTTCCCATCTCCCATTTACTGTGTGACTCCCTTTGTATATTACTTAAGGTTCAACACCACCATTCCCTACAGAGACTGGGGGCCTCCTATGAAAGTCACTTAGCCAGGCCCTGTCACTCTGCCAAGCTTTTCCCAATCCTCTCCAAGGTAAAGCAATGAGTCTGGGCTATGAAGCCAAGACTCAAGTCTTGCTTTGGAAGGACTGGCATACCCATTGCTCATCTGGCTCGGAGAATCACTGATACGGGCAAACTCCTATTATTCAAAACCATAATAATCAGACAAGACAAGACTCCTTTAGAAATGGAGTCTGTCTGGGCTTACCACTTGCTGCGTTCTGTAATGAACTTCCAGTAAACCAGCCTAGGGCCCAGCATAACAGTAAGGTCTTATAAACTCTCTCTGACTCAATTTTATACTTCATGAAACCCTGAAGTTGTTGCGAGGGTTAGTAGCAGCTGGTCCAGTGTAAGCACCATACGCATGTCCGTAATTGTCATCTTTATCCTCTCTTATCATTTTCCCCAGGGTCAGTATTTCCCATTCCTGATGTAGTCTTCCTTCTCTATTATTCAGTGCTTTTATGTTTCATGATACTGAAATTGGGAGATTTGACAGGTTATGATAAATATTACTGACCTCAAAGCTATTTTTCTCTTTATTTTGGGTAATGTGATCCCAGCAGTAATTCTGGTATTGTATATTGATGGTTTCCTATATGAAAGTACTCATTTTAGATAATAAATTTTAGCATAGGGATTACTCTGTGTGTCAGTACTGCTTTACCCATCAAACTCACTCCAAGAATAATGTTTCCTCTTCAGAATGGGTTTCTGTCTTCCCTCCCCTATTTGTTTGCTTGGATCTGTGGTAACCTAGTAGGTCAGTTATCAGACTTCTTCCTGACCAGGAATATTCTCAGCGTAATTGCTGTCCGGAAACTCTTCACAGCAGCAGGTAAGCAACAGCCAGAACATTTAAGCACTTGGGAGATACTTCTCCCCTGTCTTTAGGATGCACCTAACTATGTTGTCTGAATCACTCCCCAGGATTTCTCCTTCCTGCAATCTTTGGTGTATGCCTGCCTCACCTGAGTTCCAGCTTCTACGGCATTGTCATTTTCCTAATACTTGTTAGTGCAACAGGCAGCTTTTGCTTGGGTGGAGTACTTATAAATGGCTTGGATATCGCTCCCAGGTAAGATTTGTTTATACACTTTTTTTAAACCTTTAACAAATAAATGTTGTACATATTTATTGTGTATAACATGATGATTTAAAATACGGATACTTTGTGGAATGGCTAAAATCGAGCAAAGTAACATATGCATTACCTCACACACTTAGCATTTTTTTGTGTGTGTGGGAACACAAAATTTACTCTTAGGAATTTTCAAGAATAAAATCTGTTGTTTTATACTATAGTCACTTTGTTATGCAATAGATCTCTTAAGCTTATTCCTCATATATAAATAAAATTTGGTATCTTTTGGCTAACATCTCACTCCCAGTGCCTAGTAATCACTATTCTACTCTACTTCTGAGTCCAATTTTGTAAGATTCCACATGTAACTAAGATCATGCAGTGTTTGCCTTTCTGTGTCTGACTTATTTCACTTAAATTAATGTCCTCCAAGTTCATTCAAGTTGTCACAAATGACTTGATATCCTTCATTTTTAGGCTGAATAGTATCCCATTGTGTATATTATCACATGTTTGTTATCCCGTTCATCTGCTGATGGACACTTAGGTTAATCCTATATCTTGGCTATTGTGAATAATGCTGCAATGAACATGGTAGTGCAGTTATCTCTTTAGACATTCTCACTTCATTTCCTTTGGATAGACACTCAGGAGTGAAATTGCTGGATCATATAGTGGTTCTACTTTTAATTTTTTGAGGAACATCCATACTGTTTTCCATAACTGCTGTACTAATTTATATACCCACCAATGGTATGCAAATTTCCCCTTTTTTCCACATCCCCACCAACACGTATCTTTTGTATTTTTTATAACCGACACTCAAATGGGTGTAGAGGGATATCTCATTGTGGTTTTAATTTGAATTTCCCTGATGATTAATGGTGTTGGGCATTCTTTTCATACACCTGTTGATAGTATATCTTTGTTTTTTGAGAAATGACTATTCAGGTCCTTTGCCCATTTTTTAATTGGGTTGTTTTCTTGTTATAGAGTTTGAGTTCCTAGTATTCTTTGGATATTAACCACTTATTATACGTATAGTCTGCAAATATTTTCTCCTATTCTTCAGGTTGTCTCTTCACTCTGTTGATTGTTTCTTTTCCTGTGCAGAAGCTGTTTAGTTTGATATAATGCCATTTGTCTGTCTTTGCTTTCAGTACTTGTGCTTTTGTGATCCTAACCAAAAAAATCATTGCCCAGGTCAAAGTCATAGAGCTTGTCCCCTGTGTTTTCTTCTAGTAGTTTTACAGTTTCAGGTCTTATGTTTAAGTCTTTAATCCATTTTGAGTTGATTTTTATATATGGCATGAGATGAGTCTAATTCCATCCTTCTGCATGTGGATACCCGGTTGTTCCAACAGCATTTATTGAAGAGATCATCCTTCTTCCATGGTGTGTTCTTGGCACCTCTGTCAAAATTCAATTCATCCTAAATGTTGGATTTATTTCTGGACTCTCTATTCTGCTCCATTGGTCTATGTATCTATTTTCATTCTAGTATCATGTCATTTTGATTATTAAAACTTTGAAGTATATTTTCAAGTCAGATAGTGTGATGCCTCCAGTTTTGTTATTTTGGCTTAAGATTACTTTGGTTATTTAGGACCTTTTGTATTTCCATAGAAATTGTAAGATTGTTTTTCTATTTCTGCGAAAAATGTCATTGGAATTTTGATAAGGATTGCATTGAATCTTTAGATTGCTTTGAATTGCACAGACATTTTAACATTAATTCTTCCTATCCATAAACACAGGATATCTTTACATTTGTTTGTGTCTTCTTCAATATCTTTCACTAATGTTTTAGTTTTCATTGTGGCCTTTCACCTATTCAGTTAAACTTATTTTAAGAATTTTTTTCTTGTAACTATTATATATGGGATTGTTTCATTGATTGTGTGTGTGTGTGTGTGTGTGTGTGTGTGTGTGGATAGTTCATTGTAACTAGGGAGAGTTTTTAAAAATCTTTTTCTTTCTTAAATCCAAGCTCTCAAAAGCATTTTTAAAAGTCACTAGTTTTTGTATAAATTTAAGGTGTGCAAATACAATTTTGTTAAGTGGGTATATTATGTAGTGGTGAAGTCTGGGTTTTTAGGGTAACCATTACCTGAATAATGTACATCGTACATATTAAGTAATTTTTTAACCCTCACCCTCCTCCCACTCTTCCAAGTCTCTAATATCTGTTATTCTACACTCTGTCAATGTGTATAAGTTATTTAGTTCTTACTTTATAACTGAGAACTTGCAGTGTTTGGTTTTCTGTTTCTGAGTTGTTTTACTTAAGACAAGAGCCTCTATTTCCATCGATGTTGCTGAAAAAGACATTATTTCATTCTTTTTTATGGCAGAGTAGTATTCCATTGTGCATATGTGTCACATTTTCCTCATCCAATCATCTGTTGATGGACACTTAGGTTGATATCTTTGCTATTGTGAGTAATATTGCAATAAACACATGAGTGCAGATATCTTTTTGATACAATAATATCTTTTCCTTTGAGTAGACACCCAGTAGCACAATTGCAGGATCTAATGGTAGCTCTATTTGCAGTTCTTTGAGAAATCTCCATACTGTTTTCCATAGAGGTTGTACTAATTTACATTTCCACTAACAGTGTATAAGCATTGCTTTTTCTGTGCATCCTCATCAACATCTGTTGTTTTTTGACTTGAATAATAATAATTCTGACTGGCATCAGATGCTATCTCATCATGGTTTTAGTTTGCACTACTCTGAGGATTAGTGATATTGAAAGTTTTTTTTATATGCTCATTGTCCATTTGTATGTCTTCTTTTGAAAATGGCTACTTATGTCCTTTTTCCACTTTTTTAATGTGGTTATTTATATTTTGTTGTTGTTAAGTTGGAGTTCCTTGTTAATTGTGAATTTTTTAAAAAAATATTCTTTTTATTTCAATGGCTTTTGGGATACAAGTGGTTTTTGGTTACATGGATGAATTGACAGTGGTGATGTCTAAGATTTTACTGTATCCATCATAGGAATAGTGTACGTTGTACCCAATATGTGGTTTTTTTATCCCTTGCCCCTCCTCCCATTTTCCCCCCTCTGAGTCTCCGCAGTTCATTATATCACTCTGTATGCCTTTGTATACCCATAGCTTAGCTCCCACTTATAAGTGAAAACATATGGCATTTGGTGGCAAACATATGAAAAAATGCTCCACATCACTAATTATCAGGGAAATGCATATCATAACCACAATGTGATACCACCTTACTCCTGCAAGAATGGCCATAATTAAAAAACAAAATAATAATAGATGTTGGCGTGGGTGTGGTGAAAAGGGAACATCTTTACACTGTTGGTGGGAATGTAAACTAGTACAACCACTATGGAAGACAGTGTGGAGATTCCTTAAAGAACTAGAAGTAGAAATACCATTTGATCCAGCAATCCCACTACTGGGTATCTACCCAAAGGAAAAGAAGTCATTATATGAAAAAGACACTTGCACATGCATGTTTATAGCAGCACAATTTGCAACTGCAGAAATATGGAACCAGCCTAAATCCCCATCAAACAATAAGTAGATAATGAAAATGTGGTTATATATATGTATTATGGAATACTACTCAGCCATAAAAACAAACAAAATAATGCCATTCGCAGTAACCTGGATTCATTTGCTGCGGTTTCACTGCTTTTATAGCTCATTTCATGCTGGAATTGGTTTGAGCTTCCAGGATTGGCCAATCATAGTTGCTTGTAAACCAGGCTTCTGGTTTCCTTGCCTGAGTACTGGAAACAATTTTGGAGGTCACTAGCTCTGGGCCTATGAGAGTAAACCAGGTGAACAAAGCCCTTCAATTTTTTATTAACCCCAAACCAGTTCCCATTACCAAAACATATCGCCTTCTGAATTTCTCAATGAAACTTACATATTTTCTAATTCTACTGGGTTTCACTCTAAATATAATCCCATTTTATTAATATCATCGTATCCTTTACTGCTAATGCCAACCTTTCTGACTCTGTGGTGACACTGGAAAGTTGCCTATATTCATATACTTTTTCTAACATCTTAATGGAATTTGAGAAGTAGGAATTTGCAAAATGAGCAATCATCTCTCTTAAATTTCATTTGATTAGGTTGGCATTTCCTGCAGTATTTGTACTACTTTACATTTGTGTATTATTATTTTATGTATAGATATTTTGGATTTATTAAAGCGTGTTCAACCTTAAGCGGAATGCTAGGAGGACTAATTGCTTCCACTTTGACTGGATTGATCCTTAGGCAGGTAAGAAACATACAGACATGTAGTTACTTTTCCAATATTAATTGTATAGAGAAAGATTATACACAGGAAAGATTGCAGAGAAGATGCCAGAAGGAGATGACTTATGAGTTTTTGCATCATATGAAAATAAACTTGGTCAAATCAGGCATCTCTCCAAATCTATAAATAATACAATTTCTATCTCATTATTTGTCAATTAGATATGTAGAGAACTCTTTAGTAATTGGCCATTGCTACAGAAGTGGACTTCTGTTATTTTTAATAATGAATATGTGGATTGATCAGCACAGGTATTTGACTGGCTGAGTGGTAATATAAGTAACAAGATACAGTTTTCTCAAAGAAAGAATGAAAAATCACAAGTAAATACAGTTAAAGATTGACCAAAGTTTGACTATGAAGGCAGACTTCTGTTTTTGCAAGTGTCACGGACAAAGTTAGCTGAAATTTTCCTGTTAAGGACACTTAAAATGCCCTATCAAATTGTAACAGTTATTTTAAATGCATGACTCATCTGCAAAAAAAGTAAAGCAAAAGAACACTTCAGAGATTAAAAATGAAAGAATAGTTTGACTCCAGAGAGGTAAATAACCACTGAAGCCACTGGCTGCCTTGGGTCTTTGCCTATCCTGGGTAATCTATGTCTTCAGTTATAATGAACAAGCAGAAGATAAGAGATAATATCCTAAAGCCACTCAAATAAGAAGAGTCAGAATGGAAATGCTGGCATAAATCTGTACTCACAAAGGACTACACCTTCCTACCACTAGCACCATGTGGATCACATATAAACTTTATTTGGAGGAATGCTTTCAACAAAAGGAATGGTAGTGTGTAGATAATTCCTCCAAATGCTCCTTATCCCAAAGTTGGGACAGGGAGAGATGGTCTGCATCCACTATGGCCACATTTCCCATAAAGAGGAATCTTCCACCACCACAATGTCTCTATTTATGGTATTAGAAAAGAAGAAAACACCACTAGAACCGTAGAAGCTCCCTGGTCAGAGAAGTAGCCTCATTAGAAATGGGGAGCACCAGATGGCCATGGTCTGTTTCCTCCCTCTGAGCATAGTGCCTTTATTCTTCCATTTAGTTCACTCAGGTGTGCAGAGCTGACTTCCAAAAGTTGTTAGTGGAGCTAATTTCTCTGCAAACATCCAAGATGTGGAAGGAAATATGACTCCAGAACTGTTCAAAGTTGTCTCTGCCTAGTAAGTTAACTTAGACAGTGCCTCAGCTTTAAAAGGAGAGAAAAACTGAATACTCTTCTAAGCATTTGAAATTTGAGTGAATCAAATATTTGGTGACCAGAAGGCAAGCCTGGGAAGTCAATTATTGCAGCTGCAATAACTTTTCTGGTTCTCTTCTTGGGCATTTCCCCACTTCTTTGAAGTTAGATGTATTCCTGTAAGTTATTTTGGCCAATGAAATATGAGAGGAAGTGATACATGTGAATTCTGAGAAGAAGCATTAGAAACCAAGAGGCCATTCTTTCCCTTTGATGCAACAACTAGTATTATTCAGAAGGATGACTGCAAGGCTACTAACCAGGATCCAGAAATCCAGGTTATATGGAGCATAACTCCTAGCCAACCCATTATGTACCTTTTGTGTAAACAAAAAACCAAATTTCTGTCATTGAAAGCCACTAAGACTTGAGGGTATTGGTTACTATACTATAACCTACTCTATTCTTGACCTGTCAGGATCTATCCAGAATGAATCCCAGGAAGAAAAAATGGTAAAAATACAGAATATATGGCATGAGATGGGGTAATCCAGTCAGAAAACCCAACATATGACTAACTGGAGTCCCAGAAGATGAAGAGAGAAAACAGGGCAGAGGCTATGTATGAAGAGAAAATGATTGTTTTCTAGTTTTCCAGAAATACAGAAATTCACACCTTTAAGAAGCCTAGTAATCACAAGTAGGATGAAAAAGTAACCAGAAATTGCAGAAAAGCAAAGACAAAAAGAATATCATATAAGCAATCAGAGGAATCAGAAAGATTGCCTCCAAATGAGCAACAGATAGACTGGTCTCTGACTTCTCAAACTCAAGAAAGGAAGACAGAACACAATAAAATTACATCTTCAGTCTGCTTAGTGAAAATAACTACCAACTTAAATTTGTAAACAGTGAAAATATTTGCCAAAAGAAAGACAACATGTTTCAAGCCAACAAAAACAGGGAATTCAATTCACTAATGGACGTTTAAAAGTGTTTTTAGGTTTAAGAAAGAAAATTAGAGATGCAGGAAAAAAATGAAGATCAGCAAAAGTGGTAAATAAGCGGACAAATCCACTTATTCACCTACTTGTTTTATTGGGTAAACAAAAGTAATGCCCTGTGGAGTTTAAAAAACACTATATACAAAGTATAAAATAAACAATAATAAGAGTAAATAAGTCAAGAGAAGATAAATGGAGCAAAGTATTTGAAAGAGTTCATGCTGTCTTGCCAGAGGATAAAAGTACTAAGAGTTTGATACATGAAGAAAACATGTTGTAATTTCTAATCTAATAATTAAAAAAAACAGAAAAAGTACATCAATTTCAAAGTAATAAAGACAAAAATGAAATAATAAAAATACCTTATCTAAAAGAAGGCAAAAAAAGGAGAGAAAAAGCAACATAGAACAAGAGGTGCAAATATAAAACAATCAAAATAATTTGGTAAACTAGATGTGCCAGCAGCTACTTTAAATAAGCTAAAAGCTCTTACTAAAAGCAAAAGGCGGCCATATTGGATTAAGAAATGAAGCTTAACTCTGTGCTGCTTTCATACAAATATATAATAAAATAAAAAGCAACAGAAAAGTTGAAATTAACAGAGAAAACATTCTACGCAATTTTTAGCTAAAAACCTGCTGAGGCTATGTTGATCTCAGAGGACACCTTAAGGCAAAAAGTATTACTAGAAATGACGACAATCACTTCATAAAGATATATGATTCAATTCACTGAGAAATATGTATACACCTATTTCTATGTGTATGTATATATACATACATATATATGTATATTTGCTGTGAGAATTTTGTGTGTACAAATATGTATACACACAAAAACATACATATATATATACACACACATATATACACATACACACACACACAACATGGAACATTTCTCTCTCAGATTGGAGTATAAAAAAATGCCTGCTGTCACTATTTATTAATACTAAACTTTTTACTATGTCCTAATGAATGAAATAAGACACAGAAATATGAAAAAAAGAAGAAATATCATTAACATTTTTATAGGTAGCATTCAAAAAAAAAATCAGAAGACTAACACTACTTATAAGTTATTAGAATTAATAAGTAGGTTTTGGAATTTGTAGAGTAAATCTATAAATATACATTGTTTTCTAAATACCTGAATAAAGAGTGTGAAAATAAAAATTTTAAAAAGGATACTATTTTCAACACCATAATAAAAATCGTATATCTAAGAATAAATTTAATGAATTACTCATATGATCTCCACAAAGAAACCCATAAGAGAGAGACTTGAAAGAAATTTTTTAAAAACTAAGCAAATGGAGGGAGATGCCATTTTTATATACTAAAAGACTCAAAATTATAAAATATCTTCTCATTCCCCTGAATGAGCTGTAGATTCAATGAAATCCCAATCAAAACCCTAAGTTACTTTGTGGACACTGAAAAGACTTTTACATAATTGACATGTGTTCACAAAGGGCCAAGAATAACTAAGAGAGTCTTGAAGAAGACAAACTGGAATATTTGTTCTACCTAATATTAAGATACATTACAAAGCTATGAAAATAAATACCTTATGGTATTGGCACAAGTAGACCAATAGAACTGAAGAAAGAGTGTAGAAAGATCCCACATATATGGACATTTAATTTATGACAGAACAGTGCCACCTTTGTCATAAAGAAAGGGCTTATAAAATGGTACTGGGCTTAAAGAATATCATTATGAAGAAAAATAAAATTTAACTTATCTCAACATACAAAAATATGAAGTAGAGGTGGATTGCACATCTCAAAATTGTAGGCAAAATATAAACTTTCTAGAATATAATTCAGAGGAATATTTTCATGATCTGATAGACAGAATTATTTCTTAAAAAGGGCACTAAAAGTACTAACATAAAGAACAAGACAATAAATTTGACTGCATTAAAATTAAGAACTTCTGTTCCTCAAAATATACCAACAATAGAATAAGTAACCATCAAGTTTGAAAAGATATTTGCAACACATACAACTAACCAAGGGCTTTTAATAAAAATACATAGTTACTACAAATCAATAAGAAAATGAGAAGAAAAAAAAAAAAGATGTAAGTAGGCACTTTACAAGGTGAAATCCAAATAGCTAATAAATATAGTAAAAGACAAATTGAAAACCACAACTTGCTCACACTACACGCCCACTAGATTGGTGGTCTATAATACCAAGGGTAAGTAATGATGTGCTGAAAAGCAAAATTAATAACAAATGCTGGAATTGTAAATTAGTACAACACTTCTGAGCACAGATATTACCTAGTAAAGCTTAGGTTATGCAATCTTTATGATTCAGTAATTTCACTCCAAGATAAATGAATCTATACACACTGAGGAACATATACAAAAAAAAAAGTTTATACTATGAGGTTACCAGATTTTGAAAAAAAAAGAAAAAACCCAAGAAGATGAAGACTGCCCAGTTAGATCTGACTTTCAGATAAACAAGAAATAATACAGGACTTTGCTTCATTACCAAAACGCATGGGACATACTTGTACTACCAAGTTACTCATTGTTTATCTGAAATTCAAATTTAATCAAACATTCTATTTTTCTCACAATCCTCTCATAGCAGCATTGTTTAAAATAGTCCCAAAGTTCTTCAAAACTGATGAGAACAGGCCAGGTGCGGTGGCTCACACCTATAATCCCAGCACTTTGGGAGGCTGAAGCGGGTGTATCACCTAAGGTCAGGAGTTTGAGACCAGCCTGGACAACATGGTAAAACCCCATCTCTACTAAAAATACAAAAAATTAGCCAGACCTGGTGGCACATGCCTGTAATCCCAGCGACCTGGGAGGCTGAGGCAGGAGAATTGCTTGAACCTGGGAGGCAGAGGTTGCAGTGAGCTGAGATTGAGCCACTGCACTCCAGCCTGGGCTACAGAGTGAGACTCTGTCTCAAATAAATTAAATTAAATTAAATTAAATTTAATTTAATTTAAATAAATAAAATAGTCCCATTGAGGCAACAGTCAAAAATTGTCAGCAACACAGGATGCAAGAGGACAATGGCATAAGAAAACTATTTTTAAGGATACAAGACCATATAATGCCTCACACTTTAGGGGAAATAAATAAACTATTTAGAGAATTAAAAAAAAAAAAAAAAAACAGGAGATGTAATCAGAAAATGAGTGGAAAATAATAGTATCAATTATCTTGATTATATTTTCGTTATCTTAAAATTAAGGATAAAAGAAAAGAAAAAAAAGAAAGACTATCCATAATAATCAATAATAAAAAGTTTTTAAGAAATGCCAAAACAGGGCCAGGTACAGTGGGTCATGCCTGTAATCCCAACACTTTGGGAGGCCGAGGTTGGGTGGATTGCTTGAGCCCAGGAGTTCAAGACCAGCCTGGACAACATGGCAAAACCTCATCTCTACAAAAAAAAAACAAAAATAAAACATTAACTGCACATGGTGGCACGTGCCTGTAGTCCCAGCTAGGAGGCTGAGGTGGGAAGATCACCTGAGTCTGGGAGTTCGAGGCTGCAGTGAACCATGATTGTGCCATTGAGCTCTAGGCTACAACACAGAGTGAGACCCTGTTTCAAAAAAAAAAAAAAAGAAGAAAGAAAAGAAGAGAAAAAAATAAATGCCAAAATACAAACTGTTTGTTTGCATAGGGATGGGTATGGAGACGGAAGATAGGACCAAAAGGAAATGAGAGCCTGCCAAATATTAGCCCTATTATGAAAAAGATAAATGTTGATAAAATGTATACATCTCTTTCAATTTATATAGTTCAATATGTATCTACTATAAATAGATACATTTAGCTATGTATTCTTAAATCTCTCTAGCTATATCTTTTGATCTACCTATCAAGATAGCTATTTCAACTTGAGCATGCATCGGAAGAATAATGTTTAAAGAGTAATACAGATAACTTTCATAAACCAGTAGAAGAAAACTCATTCTCTTCAAAATGAATCCAAAACTTAAAAAAAATAAAGCACTGCAATAGAAAATACGAAATAATATGGGAGCAATAAATCTTAACAAAATAATAGTGATGATAGATGAAAGTATGTTAAATTTGCCAATTAAAATACGAAGACATTCTTTATCTATATAGGCTTATATGATACAATAATATGTCGGTTACATAAGATACCTTGAAAAGATGCAGAAAACTTTGAAATAATAGATCAGATTGAAAAAAATCAGTTAATTTTGAACTATAAGAAACTAGTAAACTTAATATCTGATGAAAATAGAATTTTAAACAACATGTATACAGTAGAAAGATAAAACTGATTATTTTTATAGAGTAAAATGATTACTTTTTTGGCTATGTATAAGTGTGTTTTTCCATATTTGTTAAGTGATTGAGTCTACGTTATTTTTAACATTACATTTTAAATGTTACAAAACAAAAAAACAAGAGCAATAATTTACAATTACTTTGAATTTTAATTCCTTAGGATCCAGAATCCGCCTGGTTTAAAACCTTCATCCTGATGGCAGCCATTAATGTGACTGGCCTAATTTTCTACCTTATAGTTGCTAAAGCAGAAATTCAGGACTGGGCTAAAGAAAGACAACACACACGTCTCTGAAGGTGAGAAGTGATCAGATTAAGGACAATTTTTGAAACTGGGAATTCAGGAGAGAGAGGAATTAAGGATGACTCCTCAGATGGGGAGGAATAAGGGGCAGGTTTAGAGAAGAGGAGACCATGTTAAGCCTGAGAATATTAGACATCCTGATGGAAATGGCTGTGGGACTCTGTGGGATGCTAAGGCTGGAGATATAAATTTGGGAGGCTGGGACTCTTTAACATCAAAAGATGAGGATGAAAAAGAGAAGTTTGCAAAAAAGACTGGGAAGGGCCTTCAACGAAGTAGGAAGAACAGTTGTAAAATGGAGACTCGAAGTGAAAAAGACTGGGAGCAAGGACCTTTGGCAAGTGCTATAATATCAAGACATTAAATTATATAAGGTCTAATAATTTACAAATGGGTTAGGCAAGAGGAAGTTTAAAGGTAACCCTGACTAAAATGATTTTCAAATGAATGATGGAGACAAACAGTCCATTAAGGTGTGTTCAAGGTATGATACTGTGCTTTGCTTATGTCAACTCTATCAGTGGTAAATAAATGGTAGGAGAAATGTCTCTTTGTAGAATAATTTTGGCTAATGCATAAATAAGAATTGATAGATGTGGAATATCCTTATTTTGCAACCCTCAATAAATTAAGAGATCCAGGTGTTGAATTTCAATGATCATTAGTATCACAAAAAGACAGGCATGAAGACATTGTACACCTTCTGATGAAAGAACACACCACGACTAATGTGTTGCTAAGAAAATCAAGCTGAATCTCATCAAACCTTGGATACAGCTACCATTTTGGAAGAAGTACAGAAAATAGAGAATATGTTCGACACAATCCGAGTGTATCATTAGCAAATCTAAACTGTAGGAGATTTTATAGGTCAAAAGGCTCAGGTTCTTTAATAAATAAATTACATATAAAGAAAAATAGGGAGGCTGAGGCGGGTGGATCATGAGGTCAGGAGTTCAAGACCAGCCTGGCCAAGATGGTGAAACCCCGTCTCTACTAAAAATACAAAAATTAGCCAGGCGTGGTGGCAGGCACCTGTAATCTCAGCTATTCAGGAGGCTGAGGCAGGAGAATCTCTTGCACTTGGGAGGCAGAGGTTGCAGTGAGCCAAGATCACTGCACTTTAGCCTAGGCGACAAAGCAAGACTCCGTCTGAAAAAAACAAAAATGGGGGTAGAAATGGATGCTCTAGATTAGAAAGAACTTAAATGACAAAACAAATATTTAAATATTGGCAAAATGAAACACTATGAAAGTATACATGTGAGTGATAAGTCTATAAAGAAATACAGACAAATAGATTATTATAAATGTCAAAGAAGTTGTTACTTTTAGGGGCAGGGAGGGAGCATTTGAAGAACTTCAGGAATCCTGGCAACATTCTATTTTTCATGTCCAGGCTAGTGATTACAAACACTTATCCTATAATAATTCATTGAGCCAAATATTTGTGCAATTTTCTGTGTCTCTGTGTTTTTATAGTATGAAAAGAGAGATCAAGAGAGAGAGAATATGGGCTGAGGAAACTGAGACAGTCAGGATAGGCATTCCTATAAAGGAAATCAGAGAAGAGGTGTGGTAGCTGTAGAGGGATGGAGAACCAAAGAGCGTTTTGTTTGTTTTTTGTTTGTTTCCGAGAAGATAGATGCCATAGCATATAAGGTGATGGTATAATTCAGTAATGAGGTTCCACAGTATAGGAGATAAGGCACAATGACAGAATTAAAAAGTACTTGACTCATCTGGAAAGGATGTAATTCAAGCACCACAACTTGGGTTGGCCTTGGGCAGAAACCTAGAGCTTATCCACAGTGGCAGAGAGAACGCAGTGTTGTGTATGTGATGAGTTAGTATGTAGGTTGGCATCTCATCTGTGCAATAAGCAATGAGGTTCTCAGTTAAGAGAGAGCGGCTGAGAGATAAGGAAATGAGGAAAACACATATTGGTAAAGAAGGTAAAATTATCATTATGAGCAGCTGATATGGTTATCTACTTAGAAAATCCAAGTGGGTTGACTGGAAAACTATATAAACAATAATGAATTCAGTAAGTATCCTGGAAAATTTATTGATAAATATTATATTAATATTAATAAATAAATTTTTCACCTTAAACAAAAATAGCCAGTTAACAAATTTATTGGAAGAAATGATCCAAATGATGTTTGAAGAAATTTTTTTAAAAAAAATAGGATCTCACTGTGTTGCCCAGGCTAGAGTACAGTGGCACAATCATAATTTACTGTAGCCTCAATCCCCTGAGTTCAAGTAATCCTCGTGCCTCAGCCTCCCTGGTAGCTGGGACTATAGGCATGCAACACTACACCCAGCTAAAGGAGGAAAATTGATAGTGTCACTCAAAAATGAAATTTAGTCAGTATTAAATTGATCCAGTATTGCAAGTACTAAAAATTTCCATAATAGTGTACTCACAAAAATTTACCAAGATGCAAGCATAACTCAAGATTGTTGATTTAGAAATGGCAAAAATCTGGATATGGAATTAAGCATGTTTGTCAATGCAGCCTTAGTTAATACATTTTGTTTAAGTGAATGGAATATAACCAGTAATTTAAAAATACAAAAGCTTATCTGAATATTTTAATGTAGAAATATCTGAGATTGTCCTTACAAATAAGCATATAACAGCACTAGAAAATATCCCATAGACATTAGCAAAGGTTTATCCTCTATTTCCAAGGCACAGAGTGTGGCACAGCTATGAGAACAATCACTTTACTTTATTCAGAATCCATAAATCTTATTTGTTTTTTATATATTTGACCTATTAAATTTGAAAGTTATACCAAAGTTTTCCATTATTACTTCTATCCATTTTTCTTTTTATGTCTGCTTTGGCAGTTACTATTGAGTACTGTATTCTGATGTTACAATTTCAAAAAGATTTTGATGAGTATATCTTAATTTGAAATTTACTTTTGACTTTATAAATTTATGAATCCTTCCCATTTCATAATTTTTACTTTTAATTTACTTTCTGATATTGATATGACAACCTTAAATTGTGGGTGTGGGTGTGTGCTTATTTTAGATTCCCTGGAATACTTTTGCATTGCCTTTAAATTCCACCTTCCTGAGTCATTTTATTTAATGTTTTTCTTACAGAAGGTATATAGCTGGGTTCAATTATTTCACCCACTTTGAGAGCCGTCTCCTTTGTATAGATGACTTCAGTCCAACTGCGTTTATTGTCATTACAAATATACTTCATTTTCTAGCATCTTATTTTCTATTCCCTTGAAAAAATCCTCCTTATCTTTTTGGTCCTTCTCCTCCTCCTGCCTCCTTGCCGGCCTCTAGTAATTTAGATTTGTAGAATATTCTAAATTTTGATTGTGCTTATGCTCTCTAACTCTTCTTTGAAAATGTGTTCATTTTTTCCATTTACATGCTATATTCTTTTTCTGCTTTTTTTCTCCTTCCAAAATATCAAACACATTCAATGTTTCTAATTATTTTTCTTTGGTTCAGGCTAATTCTACGTAAGCCTGTAATTCCCCAAAGATGATGTGGGTAGAATTTCCTCCATTCTCCTTTCTGTTTATCTGGTTGCCCTTGGCATCTTTCCATCAGGCTGGCAGTGGAGGTTTTAAATTCTCATTTTAGATATTAGGCTAAATGGCAGAGGGGCTCTGGGAACACCAGTATGAATAGTGCATAGTGCAGGAGGTATTCTGGGCCTTGCTGTTTGTGTTGCTGTGCTGATGGTTGTTTCTTCAACAACCTGTATCCTCAGGGCTGTCAGTCATTCAGCAGCACACAGACATTTTGTTTGTGGAATCAGCAGTATTTTACCTGCCATTCTCAAACTGACACATTGCTGCAAAGCTGGTTACCTTACAAATTTGCCTTGTAATTTTAGAGGTTGGAAGAAAATAAGAAAAGACAGAATCATGGCCTTCGTTTCTCCTGTAGCCTAGAAGCCATTGCCAATGTGCCTGGTGCACCAGGATTGCAAAGGTCCATTGATTCCCAGATGCCCTGCCTCCTACCCAGCCTTACCCAGGAGGAAGTCGCTTCACAGTCCTGGAACTGCTGTTTCCACCTCTGTCTTCCCTCTGAATATACCGAGATCGTGAGTTTAGTAGACAGCTGTGAGCTGATTTCCAATGTCACCCTTTTTTTTGGCCCTCAGTATTCTGAATTTATTATAGCTAATAGTCCTTGTTGATTTGGGTATGAGGTAGTTCTCTAGGTTTTGTAATGTTCTATTTTTGTTTCTTTAAATTTATTTCAGTGGATCCCAGGGACAATAGATGAATAAGGGGCATGCATTTTGCTTGTGGTAGTTCCTTTACAGCAGGGCTTCTCAATCTCTTTTGTGTAATAAACCACAACTCAGAAAATAATGTGGAGGATTCTAAAGGAGACTAATTATGTTGAAATAGTTATCAAGATACTAAAAAGCATGTTTATGATAACATGATTATTATTAGTGCTTTAGTTTTAAAATAATATTGAACAAAACAAAGTATTTTGAGATATTAGTAATCATTGTCTGAATAAAAGTTCTCTGAAAAGAAATTTAGAGGAAAGAGGCTATCCCAGCGAACAGTTTGTGAACTAGGGAGAGACAGATTTAAGGTGCAGCCTAAAGAACAAAAAGAGAGTTTATCATTTATAGAGAAAGTTCCCTCCCAGGTTCCCACTCAGGTCCACTTAGGCACATGCATGATTCAGATTTGCTTGGTTCTGAGAGGTTGACACTTGCTGAATTCTGATTTGTCAACACAGGCCACAGTCTATTTGTTGGTTCAGGCATATAAACAGGAACAAGCAGCTATGAACTAAGCTATTAACTTAGAAGGTGTGTGGGTCTTGTAAAAACTCAAAGTGCATGTGTGACCTCTAGTCAACAAATGACTGCCTTGCTCTATTTTGATTTTAAGCCCATTTAGTCAATCAGCATCCAACTTGAAGGATTTGTTCTTTCATGGTTCACAATTGTAATGTCATAGGAAAATACCTGTGA